GCAGTCACCCCTCAGGATCAGCCAGGACCCTTTGTGGTACTGGAGATGGATAACAATGGAGGGGCATTTGGGGTAGGAATAGTTTCAGAAGTGATCACTACAAAGGCTCTGCAGCACAACAGGAGTAAAGTCCTTGTCCAGGTCTGTAACAACACAGCTGACCCCATCACCCTGAAGTGGGGGGCTCTATTGGGGCAGGTGAATGCAGCCGCTCCAGTCAGTATGTCGGAGTCACCTGATGACCCTACCCAGTTCAACCTTTAAGACTCCCCTTTGTCAAAAGAATGAAAACAGAGAGCAAAAGATAGGCTGACAAGCTGGCAAAAAGTGTTTCTCCAGGAATGACTATGATGTTGGGTGTGCCAAGAGTGCCCAGCATCGAATCCGTTGACAAACCGTTCCAGGAATGAGCCAGACAGGTTCCTTTGGGGGACTTGGAGGACCTCAGGGAACATTTGGCAGAGTTGAAGAAGGTTGGAATTATCTGAGAGCCGAGGAGCCCCTATTGTAGTAGTGCAGAAGAAGAATGGTACCCTGCGAATGTGTATTGATTACAGGACTTTGAATAAACGGACTATCCCCGATCAATACACCACTCCGCGGATTACAGTGCCTGTCAGAAGCTAAGTGGTTTGGTGTCCTGGATTTGAAGAGTGGATATTACCAAATCCCTATGCACCTTGAAGAGAAAATGGCCTTCATTAGCCCACTGGGGTTTTCTAATCTGACGGAAAGCACCAGGGCCTATTTTTGGGCACTCACCACTTTTCAAAGGCTGATAAAATGTACGATAGGGGATAAGAGCTTAATTGAAGTCCTGGTATACCTGGATGGCATAATTTTGTTTGGAAGAACCTTGGAAGAGCATGAAGATTGGCTGGAGAAAGTGTTCATGAGGAAGGTCTGGAAAAGTGTAAATTTTACTGGAATTCTGTCTCCTATCTGGGGCATGTAGTCTTGGCAGAAGAGGTGGCCACTGACCCTAGCAAGATCGAGGCTGTGACCACTTGGTCCCGACCCAACAATATCACTGAACTGAGATCATTCCTTGGATTCTGTTCATATTACCATTGGTTTGTGGAGAGATTCACTAAGACTGCTGCTCTCCTCACAGACCTTCTGAAGAATATGGAGGAAGAGAACAGTGGGCCGAGTAGGGCCCCCCCCACCCCACCAAAAAGGCCATGAAGGCCTTGAGAACCCATTAGTGGTCAGTGGACACAGCAGTGTGAACAGGCCTTCATCAAGCTGAAGCAGTGTTTAACACAATCTCCAGTATTGGCTTATGCAGACTCTTCGAAGCCGTATGAACTCCATGTGTCGAGAAGGCCTTGGGGAGTACTATACCAGGAACATGCTGGGTTGCTACGGCCCATGGCATTCACGAGTCAGAGCTTCTACCCTGCAGAGAGAATTTCCCCAAACCACAAATTGGAATTCCTTGCCTGGAAGTGGGCTGTGTTCGAAAAGCTGAATGATTATATCTATGGCCGGAATTCCTGGAGAAGACAGATAACAATTTACTAACTTATGTACTCACCACAGTTAAGCTAGATGTCACTGGGCATTGATGGATTGCACTTCAGCCTAATGTACTGGCCTGGAATAGAGAATAAAGATGCAGATTCCCTATCCAGAAGACTTCACGGCCGTCATGCTACTGAACCAAGCTGGCTGCAAGTATCTCCTGAAGAGGTGCAGACTATGAGTCAGGGAGCTGAATATGTAGCCAAAGGGGTAGCTTATGCTGAAGTTATGGGAGCCCAAGGTGCATGCATCCCATCATACTACTGCAATGTGTTCCAGCTGAAGGGTGAGGAATTACCACAGCTCACTGCAAACGATATGCAGGAGGCTCAGGAGCAAGATCTGCTCTGTCGATTAACAAAAATAGCGGCCTGACCTACTGTGGGTGGAAGATCCTCCAAATGCCAAGATTATCCATAGGAAGTGGGATAGATTGGAACTGAGGAATGGGGTGGTCTACCAAAGTGATGATCTAATGCAACTCTTCTTGCCAACCCAGTTCAGAAGAATAGTGTTAAGGTTACTGTTAGTGTTAAGGTGACTTTTCTGTTGGTGAGAGATCGATTTTTACTGGCCAAGGATGAGGTCACAAGTGGAAGAATACTGCCATCCCTGCCTAAGCTGCATACAGAGGAAAACTCTACCCAAACAAACTGCTTCCTTGGGCCACTGCCAGAGCCAGGGCCCAATGGAGCTGGTGTGTATTGATTTCCTGTGTCTGGAACCAGACTCTAGAGGACAGAGAAATGTGTTATTGGTGACAGACCATTTCACCAGATATTCTCAGACATTTCCCACAAAGAACCAGCAGGCCTCCACAGTAGCCAAGGTCTTAGTGGAAAAATTCTTTGTACATTATGGCCTTCCACAGGGAAGTCACTCGGATCAATGCAGAGACTTCGAGAGCAAGTTAATCAGAGAAATGTTGACTCTCTTGGGAATAAAAAATCCAGAACCACCCCTTATCACCCTCAAGGCAACTCCCAACCTGAATGGTTCAATAGAACACTCTTGAATATGCTTGGCATCCTGCCCTTGGAGAGAAGGAACAATGGACCCAGCGTATTGCAACAGTGGTGCATGCTTACAACAGTACCGAGAATTATGCCACAGGCTTCTCACCCTATTGTCCATTGTTTAGATGGGAGGCCAAGTTGCCTGTGGATCTAGATTTTGGCACAGCTCCTGATCACCTAAACCCCCTCATCACATCAGGAGTATGTAGAAAGGATAAAGCACCAACTAGAAACTGCTTTTGAAAAAGCCAACACGTTTCCCAGTCAGCAGGACAGCAGAAGAGGGGGTGGAAATAGGAATAGATTGGTGACCACTTCTATTGGCCATTAAAGTGTTACTAAACCCACAACAGTAAAATCAGTCTGTATATGCAGTAAAGCATGCTTGTTATACTCACTGTGGAACCTAGGGGGTTAATCCTCTACATTGTGTATATACAGTATATATATATACCGTATGTGTGATTTTACACAACCGTGCCTCCCTGTAGCAGTATTTCTGCTATAGGGTGGTTGGCATGTGGTTTAAGTTACTAAGAGTGATAACTGTTATTTGCACGTCTACAATTTTGTGCTGTTTTACTGTGCTCATACTTGATTAAAACTTTAAACAAAGTATCAGTTCACTCTAACCTGTGTGTGTGTTTATTTTCTGATGATGTTGAGTGAGTTTACTTTGGCTAGAGGTGTACGGTGGTGTCAATAGGGATTGGGCTGTCAGAGTGGGGTCAAGAGTGACAGGGAGCCCAAAAAAATAACTCAGTGGCCCTTAAGGAAGTAGTGCTACAGGAACACAGGATAAATCTGAAGACTAACACAGTAGCTTGAAGTTACCACAAGCTGCATTTCAGTACTTTTGGTACCTTCGGAATGTTTAGGCCAAGTCAATTTTTTGTTGCTTACAACTCCTTTAGTTCTGGATTTAACGTTTATGATGGAATGAAGACACAGATTATGTACATTACATGTTTTTTTTTCAGCAAAATTATCTGTTCTGGAGTTAGCTATTCACACTAGATTTATTCAAAGTAGCATCCATGCTTTAAACCAAGTGCCAGGCTTGTTGCTTACTTAAATAAGTCTCCTGGGCCATTTCTCTTTATCACTTTTTAGGCGTCATAAAGTCTTTCTAATAATATAGTAAGCCTGACAACCATTTTAAATATTAAAATCATGCCTCAGAGTATGAGATACTTGATATTATCTGTATCAGCAAAAAAGCCCTCTTTCGTATGCCTCTCTTAACCTCCCTGGCGGTATTCCCGAGTGTAGCTCGGGGTAACATTTCAGTACCAAAAGCGGTAACCCCGAGCTACACTCGGGCTTACCATGCGGCGCTGCTCCGGCATGTGTTCTTCACTTACCTTACCCTGCGCTCCCACGATGTGTCCCCTGCAGCGTCCCCGGCCATCTCCTCCGGCCGATGCCGGCATCCGGCTTCTGTGTCCTGTCCCTGTGACGTCGGGACGTACGGGCGCCGCCGCGGCGGCGGGGAATTTTAAAATTTTAAAAAATGTCATTTTTTTTTTTTTACATTTTACATAGTAAAACATTGCTGTCTCAACCAATTTCACATACATATTGTCCCTAGTGCTTTGTCCTGCGCCCTGCCTGCATTTTGTCTGTTCTTTCTGCCTGGAAACAGAAATGTCCATGGCGTCCAAAAAGTGTCGCTTTAGGTCAAAAGCGGTTTAGATCAGCTAGAGAACAGCGATAGTAAATCAGAACCACTTGCAGAATTGAGTGATAATGATTTGTGGGGGAAATTCGTCATCAGACACTGAAAACGATTTTGCGACTGAGCTCAGCAATGTGCGAACTTGGCGCTATATTTCAAATTTCAGTGTTTTTGGTTTGATTATATTATTGAATTAAATTTTTTATTATTTTTATATTATTTTTATGATTATTTATTAAATTATAATTTATGATTTTGTGTTTCAAATTTTATCATACCCGGGATGTTTACTAGACTCTTGTTCGGACAGATTTCAGTGAGTTTTTCCTAAAAATTACAGCCTACAATAAAAAAAATACATATTTCCATGCATAAAAATGGTACCGCTTTCAGCACCAAAAATCTGAAATAATCATACCGTCAGGGAGGTTAAACTAATTACTAGGAGCATGAGCTTTTTGACTTAAGACTAAGCCCTGCCAACTGCTATCCACCTTTCCAAAGAGTGTCTCAGTTGCCAGTAAGGACATTCTCAATGAACAGAGATGTAATCAGAAAAAAAAAACACAATGACAAGTGCTACCATCACAATCTAAAAAAGTATCTATAGAACACACTATTTGAAAAAGGTAGGAGGAGCAAGAGATTCTTAGCACGTTCAAACAATGAGCAACAAAGGATACATTGCTACATGCAAATCTTATGTAATATATGAAGAGTAGAACAGATTCTGACTTGTGCTTAGTACAACTGATTCTTGCTTCATCCATAATTCATACCTTTGGTGATGAAAGCGTGCATTTGAAAGCTTAGAGTTTCTTCTAGTGGGTTGTAATCTGCTCCTATGGAAGACACATGCAAGGTCTCCAACATGACAGGCATTTTTCCATGGCTGGGGTCGTAATTGACAGTGTGGTTCCAGGTGTATGGAACACTCACTTCATCCAGATAGAACATTCTTGTTGAATATGCATAGAGTTGCCCAAGACCGGTCTGAACATAATCCTCTGTGTAACCCTACCAAAAAAATCAAATTGTAAGCATTGTGTAAACTAAGCAATATAAATCCAGCAATAATTTAAAAAAATGATAGATATATATATATATATATATATATATATATATATATGTATATATGTTCCAAAGGTAGCCAGGTGCTCACCCACAAAGAAATCCATATACTGTAAATCCAAAACTGGTTTAGAGGCACTCATGGATGGACTGAGCTTTATAGAGACATTGACAATAAAAACACCTCTAAACCAGTTTTGGAAAAATAAATAAATAAATAAATAAAAAAAAAAAAAATATATATATATATATATATATATATATATATATATATATATATATATTTTTTTTTATGTACTTATTATTTTTTTCTCATGTAATAAAATGTTCTACAAATATATGAATATTTGTGATTTATCCACAATGTAAAAGAGACTGTATAGATCAGAGGACACAAATGATTATCAGCTTGTGATCCATATTCAATGTATAAAAAAGAGGTATTAAGTCATAATAATAATAGATTATTATTATTATTATTAGAAGTACATGATTAAATATTTTGTTAAAATGATGTTGTTTAAAAGAACTGTAATTATGCCTGGCTTCATGGTATTGAAGAATATATTGTGCAGCAGGTTATCATTCAGCAACTAAGTACCTGATGAGAGGACCTTTGAGCACTACCACTCACTGATAGCATTGACCATGTGTATTTATTAAAACTATTGACTGCTGTATTAAATTATTTACTTATAGTTTAAAAGGTGATTGACAACAGAATGGTTACAATTTTCTATTTATTTCACCTTTAATTTGATGTTAGTAGAAATCGGTAACTGAGGAACATATCCTTTCACCACTGTGTCCAACAAGAGGAAGCCATCAGCATCAAGACCACGAGCATTGTGAGTGATTTTCATGATTTCTCCTGTATGATTGCACAGTACATAAATAGTTATTATCATTAAATGCTTTACATTTTACTTTATATTAATTGAAAACCAATTGTATAATTTTGTTATCAAATGACATCTGTTTTGTACGCTAGAGTGTAAGGGAGAGATAAGAGGTGCTTTTCAAAAACCTTTCTTGACTGATGTAACAGAAAATGTTTGGAATTGATCAAAAAAGTTTACAAATGAAAATGGAAAAATAAAAATATAAAACCAATCTGCTAATTAATCTTTATTTTTTTTCAGATAAATGTGTATGACTGTTCATCTAGAGACCTGTTGCAAATTCCACTTGAGATTCTCTTATAAATTCACCACCCGTCAGAGTAAATCCATTTACTGCTTCTCTTTCTTTTGCCACTGTCCAATATATAGGATTCAATAAAGATGCAAGACTCCTCATAGAAGAACCTACAATGTATAAAATGTCAAAATAAATAAACACAAGATGGATGCCTTAATTTAATAAATAGCTGCCTCATTACTTGGACAATTTTGCATTGTCTCAACTGAAAAAAAAAATCCATTTTGCAGAGTGAAGATTTTACAAATATGTGTATTAACACAAAAAGTGTGCTGTACTTCTGTAGAAAGATATGTCTTTCTTTTATTCACATGCTTACAAAAATACTATTTTAATTATTGGCTGTTGTGCAGAAAAAGATTTTGAACATACAACTTGCACTTTCAGGTGTTACAAACATAGTTACATAGTTAGTCTGGCTGAAAAAAGACAAAAGTCCATCCAGTTCAACCATTTAAAAAAAAAAGAAAAAAAGTTATATTCCCTCACCCACAGTTGATCCAGAGGAAGGCAAAAACAAAAACAGCAAAGCATGATCCAATTTGCTCCTGCAGGGAAACAAATTCCTTCCTGATCCCCAGAGAGGCAATCGGATATTCCCTGGATCAACTTTACCTATAAATGTTAGTATCCAGTTGTATTCTATGTATCTAAAAAAGCAATCCAATGAGCTGGCCAGAACCAACTCTTGAGGGAATCTATTCCACATTTTCACAGCTCTCACTGTGAAGAACCCTTCTGTGTTTGGAGATTAAATTTCTTTTCCTGTATGCATGTTATTCACACATTGATATAAAATTATCATGCACATCAATTTTTGTTTTCAGACTTTAAATATACATAGAAGATCTTAAAGTCATAATGCAACCAGACATTTTGCTAATAATACTCCATTTACAATTGCTGACACGCAAAATGCATACATTCAGGGATGAATTGTGTACCAAAAATGTTTTTCTACTTTGTCATTGTACAACTCTTGCTGATTTTTTTTTTTTGCTGGTTTGTGCTAGAACATAACCAGACTTTTTTTTGCCTATACAAAATGACACCATGTGTACAAAACTTCCGGAAAGGCCCATAGAAAGCACTTTCCTTCTGAAAAACTAACTATATCTAGAAAAGCATACCATCCTAAGGTATATGGTATATAGGAAGGTAGGGTACAAAATTGGGACTTTTTGTTTTTTATTGCTGAGTTTAAGTTGAATTAAGCAATAAGGACAAAAAAAAAAAATAAGGAACACCCAACTATAATCCTAATACCTCCATTACGTAACCCAACTCTAACCCTACCAAACAAGGGTAAGTCGACACATGAGGCAAAGGTTTTTGGTACAGCATTTAGGTGAACACACATTTATCCCCAAGGGGACTGTTTCTTCAGACTGCTAGCAAATTTCTATGAGTAGCCTAATTCTTTATACTAACCCTGAAAAATATAATTCACTAAAGATAAATGGAAGGAAAAGAAAATGTAGGCACAATTAAAATTGTACTATGTAGAGTGGTTGGTTTACATTATAGAAAAGCAAAACTTTTGTAACACTTTAGAATGTAACACACACTGCATTAAGTACACTAATCTTTTTCTCTCTGTAGTCTGGTAGAGAAACAGACAAAAGAGACAAAGCTGTGTTTTGAGTATGATAATGTGTCACAAGATCTCTTTGACTAAATAAAGTATTTTGCTGTCAGGAGCCTCTCTGATTGGCTTCCAGTACTAGTTGTGGTACTGAGTTAGTAACTGCCCAATCTCTACATAGGTAAAACAGGTAAGAACAGAGTTCAAATGGTTGTTAAGGCCTTAAGACGAATTCCAGCCTAACCATTTTCTGTACCATATTCTTTTGCTACTGGTACTTAATGCAAAACTGTACTTAGGCTACAGGGGGTGTCAGTCACAGCTGCTGTGTCCTCTGTGGTGCACATAACTTCCATGAAACCAGTCTGATCTGGATGAGAAGGGTTGGACACAAAACCTGCCCCATTCCTATGCACACTGATTATGGAAATGTAGGGATTCAACTTGCTATGTTGCTCAGACTAGCATCTTATACTGCACAGTGTGATCTAATCTGAAAAAAATGTGGAACAAATATTATTTGGTTTACTGTCTTCAGCTGTTCATGTACGGGCAAAGCTGTGTGTGTATGTATTAGCTTATGACATCATGTCTGCAAAATATCACTGTTGCTGTTGGCCTGACTGCAGTGATGTGCTGGTTCCACCTGACTTTCCCACCAGTTAGTGCAGAGCAGCATGAAGAAGTAGCATGGATTATCACACAAGTCTTTTTTTTTCTCTAGATTTAAGAAATAAAACTACACGAAACGTGCCATCATACACAGTCAGGCTAATAGATACCACCGAATATGTTCTGACCCAAGAGAAAGAGATAAACATCTAGAGACACTAGCAGACTCCTTCCATAAGAAAGGTTACAAGGACAAAACTATCAACACCAGCATAAACACAGCCTTGAGAACACGAAGAGAAAATCTACTTCAGTACAAGGAGAAAAAAAAACAAACAACTGTGTACCACTAGTAACCACATACAACCCAGCACTAGAAGGAATAAGAAAAATAATCAAAGATTTACAACCCATCATAACAGAGGATGGAACTCTGAAAGAAATATTCCAGCAACCACCAATACTGGCCTTCAGACAACCCCCCAACCTCAGAAATAAACGAATCAGTAGGATACTTCCTTCTGATTATGATGTCACAAATAATGGAAGCAAACCCTGCAATAAGAAACACTGCAAACTGTGCAACCAAATCAATCCATCAAAAAGCGTCAGACACTCAAAAGGGATCTTCAATATCTCCAGATCATACAGCTGCACCTTTAGTAATGTTGTGTTCCTTATCCAGTGCAGAAAATGTAGCAAAGGATCTTATGTTGGCGAAACAAGACAGAAGTTGCAAACAAGGATGAATTTGCACAGACATACCATCAAGGAACATAAAGAAGATGACCTTTGCACACCTGTGGGACACCATTTCGCACAACCACTTTGGGAGACCTCAATATTTTAGTTCTTAAAGGAAATTTCAAATCCATTCAGGAAAGAAAAACTTTTGAACTAATAATGATAATTCTATTTGACACAAGAGATAATGGCCTAAATTTGGACATGGGATTTCTCAATCATTATCCAGCAGTTTTATGACTATCAGCTCAAGCATGACTGCCTCTGCTAGTGTTGTCTCCCTCCCCCTAGACTTTGCTTTTGCTGTGTCTTATCTCAGTTTTTTTTTCCATCCCCTACATCTCTTCTAACATTCTGCTAAATCTTTGTTTCAGTACTGCTTAGACCTGAAGAAGGGGGCATACCCCAAAAGCTTGTCCTCAAAATTGTATGTTAGTGCAAATAAAAAAGTATCACGGACAGTACTCAATTGTTCCTGTCAGAAATAAAACTATAAATGCATGTTAAAATAACAGGAGGGAAGTACAATAGCAGCAAGCAGAGAACTATAAAAGTATAGATTGGTGGATATTGGAGTTTTGCTTTAAGAACCATTAAAGGGTTGATGCAATTTAACAAAAAAAGCCCCACATATCACCCCAACCTGCCCATCAAACATAAAAAATTAAATATAAAAACAGAAAATACTGACAACCTCTCTTTCCTGACCTGGTTAAGTAGTGTTTACAGTGTGCATTGACATGGCTGGCCTATGAAATTCTGTTCATGAATTGATCTCTGGAGGAAGCAATTAGTCTCTATTGCCAGAGCTAAAGACAGAAATTATTTCCTATAACTAGGAATGTGCAACATTCCATAATACAGCTATAGTGCTACAAACCATACATTGGGTGTGTTGAGGCAGAAGGGCCGATGTTTGTGAGCATTTGAGGTCTATTGTATGTCTAAATCTTATGCTGTAATAAGGAAGGAGAACTTTTTGTTAATGTGAATTTGCCTTTTAATGTAAGCTTCATAGTTTACAGTTTGGTTATGAATACCTCTATATATTACTTTTTACAGGACATTCAGTCACTCAAATCAGCCCATGCTTCCAAAAATTATAAGTAAAAACTTACCCAGACTTTTAGGAATGTTTGTGAATGTTGCTTTTATTGTACTTGCATGTGATTCAGAATTGTTGGAAAGAGAACCATTCAGCTGTGCAATCTGAAGGTCAACATCATTAATGGTTCCCACTAATGTTCCTCTTACAGACTGAACTCCTCCTAGACAATACAAAGGTGACACGGAGTAGAAATAAAATAGATGGAAACAAGACCCACAAGTGAATACAATTTAAACACACCTACTTCATCTGCCATGCTTTGCATTAGATTATTTAATCAGAAAGTGCTGCAGAGGAAGCAAGTAATGGAAGACTTTTTTGTTGACTTCTGTATTTACATTGGTTGAACTTATGCAGTGCCAGCCAGTTTCAGATTTCTGTGGATGACACTCACAAAATAGGAGATCTACATCTCTAGGGATGCCTCCTCACATCTATCTACACCAGTTTCTATTTCAGAGAGAAATAGAAATTAGCTGAGGTCTGCTCCTAATTAACAGAGGGGATCTGGCAGTTTTCTATATAGAAAAACTGGCATAAATTCCAGCCAGGTGTAACTTTACAGTAGGGGATGTGAGCTGTCAGCAACTTTGTTAATTAGGAACAATATCAGCTCCTCTTTTTTTTATGTTTAGAAGACTGACACAACCAGCCCCACACATCAACTAAATACCTCCATTTTCAAACACAAAACTACATGCAATTCAGTGTAGTGTATTTTTAAAAAAGGGTCAAGGAATTATTTCCCCACATTTCTTGTGAGTACAGCAGCCCATTCACATGTGTGCGGCAAGTGCATACGTTTGAACAGAGAGTAAAGGACCATTCAGATGATGCATTGTGTTAACAGCTGTGCATTAAGATGCATATTAATGTGCGTTATCATGCATTAAGGTTCAATAAACTGGCAGCTTAAGGTAGCCAAAAAAAAGCAAATGTATCCAAAAACCCCTGAGGAAGTGACGTGGTGACGTGCGTGACGATACACGTGGGGAGGAGTCTGGTGACGTCAGCATTCCAACACCGATCTGACAGGCAGCAATTTGCTCTCCTTTTATTACTTTGGCCATTGATTTTAAAGTGTTTTTTACACAGTTACCATGTAAGTTTTTATACCTAATAATTATATGCCTTTTAAAGAAGCACACTGCACTATGGTCTTCTTTGTGGTTGTCAAGCTTTATCCACAGAGCTGGCTGTACTAAAATCAGGTACCATATGTGAAGGTTCAGTGGTGATCCATAAGGGGAAGATTGCCTACAGAGGAGCAAGCTATGTGTTACCCCCACTAATAGGGGAGATACTTTTCTGACCTGTGTTCACATACAGGCCCATGTGAGAAGGTGAGAGTCTACCTGGAGGTCTATGCTAACTGTGGTGATTCACATTTATTGAAGAGTTACAGCACTGGGAATCTTTTTGGTTGTATATTTATTGTTTCTTGTTAGCAGTGCAACACTTTTATTCTTTTCACTAATGTAATAGGTATACATGATCATAGCAGTTATATACAGCACATACGTATTATACTTTGGGTCTGCTTCATGAAATTGTGAAGTAAGGTCAATTGCACTGAAAGTGAACTGAACTTGTCTTCACTCTGCATAAAATTGTAAAATAAGTTTTCTCTATGCTCCTCTGTAGATTACTGGATGTTTGAAGCGAGCACAGGTTCACTTCATCTAGCTGTGTATAGTAAATCTGGTCTAAAATTTCTTAGGCAATTGAATACTGGAAACAATATTAGCTGCTCTCTAATGGCAAGCAAAGTATATATAAGTATTATTTTATCATGTTTAATTTCAGCAACTAAACAGTATCCTGTATTGGATAATATTGCAACATTGACCAGTTCTGTGTTTCATACATTATTATATACAGCATTATAAATATATTTTGCACACACCTCTCTCACCTCACACCCACTGCAATGTGGTAATTAAAAGCATCTTATTTTAAAATCAATGGAGACTAAGGAGCCGCTGTATTAAAACTAAATTAAAAAGGTATGTACTGGTATATTGTTACATAGGTTAGAAAAGACACAAGTCTATTTATAACTGATATTGGTATAATAGTCGTAAAAATCATATTGCTTGAGGATGCGAACTCACCCTGACAACCTTGAATGTTACATCTCAACAGTTGTGTGGAATCTCCTGGACATGTCCGGCCATTGTTATACCTGATGGGATGTTTACAAATACGTGTCCTAATTTGTTGGCCACCTCCACATGAAACAGAGCATTTACTCCATGCTTCCCATGGACCCCAGTTACCATCAGCTGCAAAAAATAAAGAAACAAATGTTTGCATATTACACTCTAATTACTCAATTTTGTCTTTATTTGTTCACTCACATCCCATTTAACATAAAAGGTGTGCGGAATTTAAAAGTACTATTGATGATACAGAACCAAGTTTGAGTTTGAGGTTGACAACAATGGTCTGCTGGGAGCTTGTGTGCTGCTCCCTGTTTTCATCCTCCATATTGCTCAGATCAGGGTTTCTCAATTAGGGTTCCTCCAGAGGTTGCTAGGGGTTCCTTGAGAAACGAGCAATATCCGCCTCTCATCTAGGTTACCGCTGACAACATTGATATTTTTATTTATCTATAAGGGGGTAATTCTTCTCAATGACCACAAGTATAAGGAACATTCTTCCCACTGACCATCACGCAAATGTATCATGAGCTGTAGATACAGTAATTTTTAACAGGGGTTCCCCGAGACCAAAAGTCATTTCAAGGGTTCCTCTGTGTTGATAAGGTTGAGAAAGGCTGGCTCAGATGAAAGCACAATCATCTTCAAAAGACAAGCACAAAACAGAAGGTGCATGGATAGTGTAGTATCTTAAATAAAATAGAAGTAATATAATAAAAGTGAGTCTTACTTTTATTTAATTAAAATTACTAGTATATTTGCGAACCTTCTGTTTGGTTCTTTTGATATATATATATATATATATATATATATATATATATATACATATACATATGCACTAGTTTGCCAAAAGTATTGTGACACCCCTCCAAATCATTGGATTCAGGTGTTCCAATCACCTCCATGGCCACAGGTATATAAAATCATGCAGACTGCTTCTACAAATATTTGTGAAACAATGGGTTGCTCTCAGGAGCTCAGTCAATTAAAGCATTGCCACCTGTGCAATAAGTCCATCCGTAAAATTTCCTTGCTAACTAAATATTCTACGGTCAACTGTTAGTGGTATTATAACAAAGTGAAAGCAACTGGGAAAAACAGGAACTCAGCCACAAAGTGGCAGACCATGTAACATGACAGAGTGGGGTCAGCACATGCTGAAGATCACAGTGCGTAAAAATCACCAACCGTCTGCAGAGTTAATAGCTAAAGACCTCCAAATTTCGGGTGGCCTTCAGATTAGCACAACAACAGAGCATAGAGAGCTTCATGGAATGGGTTTCCATGACCAAGCAGCTGCATCCAAGCCTTACATCACCAAGTGAAATGCAAAGTGTAGGATGCAGTGGTGTAAAGCACGCTGCCACTGGACTCTGGAGCAGTGTAGACGTGTTCTCTGGAGTGAAGAATCACGTTGTTCTGTCTGGCATTCTGATTGATGTGTCTGGGTTTGGCGGTTGCCAGGAGAACGGTACTTGCCTCACTGCATTGTGCCAAGTGTAAAGTGTTGGGGGAGGGGGATTATGGCGTGGGGTTTTTTTCAGGGGTTGGGATTGGTCCCTTATTTCCACTAAAGGGAACTCTTAAGGCATCAGCATAACAAGGCATTTTGGACAATTTCATGCTCCCAACTTTGTGGGAACAGTTTGGGGATGGCCTCTTCCTGTTCCAACATGACTGCGCAGCAAAGCAAGGTCCATAAAGACATGGTCGAGCTAGGTTGGGGGTGGAGGAACTTGACTGACCTGAACAGAGTCCTGACCTCAACCCGATAGAACACCTTTGGGATGAATTAGAGAGGGGATTGCGAGTCAGGCCTTCTCGTCCGACATCAGTGCCCGACCTCACAAATGCGCTTCTGGAAAAATGGTCAAACATTCCCATAGCGCACTCCTAAACCTTGTGGACAGCCTTCCCAGAATAGTGGAAGCTGTTATAGGGTGGGCCAACTAAATATTGAACCCTGCGGACTAAGACTGGGATGCCATTAACCACCTCCTGCCTGCCATATAGTAATATGACACAGCGGATCACCGATCCACGGAAAGAGCCAAAGGTGTCGGCTTGGTCATGTGATCAGCTGTATTCAATCACAGCTGATCACATGTAAACAGGGAAATGCCAGTTATCGGCATTTCTCTCCCCACGAGCTGTCACGCTGACAGCTCGTGAGGACAGGAGAGCCGGTAATCGGCATCCCTCGGAGGGGGCATGTACACAGATCATCAGAGCACTGATGATCAGTGTGCCCTGATGATCAGTGTAGCCCCAGCAGCGCCACCTGTCAGTGTCCATCAGTGCCAGCTCTCAGTGCTCATCCATGCCACCTGCCAGTGCCCATCAGTGCCATATTTAAGTGCCCATCAGTGCCACATCAATGCCACATATCAGTGCCCATCTGAGCTGCCTTTTAGTGTCACCCCTATCAGTGCCAGCCAGTGCCACCTATCAGTGCCACCTATCAGTGCCAGTCAGTGCTGCCTATCAGTGCCACCTAACAGTGCCAGTCAGTGCCAGTCAGTGCCATATATGAGTGCTGCTGCTTTCAGTGCCCATCAGTGATGTCTGCCAATGCCCATCAGTGCCACCTACCAGTGCCTCCTCATCAGTATCCATCAGTGCCACCTATCAGTGTCCATCAATGCAGCCTATCAGTGCCCATCACTGCAGCCTCATTAGCGCACATCAGTGAAATGTTTTTTTTTCAAAATGTTCAGTGATTTTTGGTTTAAGAAAAAATAAAAACACAGATTAAATACCACCAAAATAAAGCTCTATCTGTCACAAAAAAAAATGATAAAAATGTCATATGGGTACAGTGTTGCATGACCATGCAATTGTCATTCAAAGTGCAACAGTGCTGAAAGCTGGAAATTGGCCTGGGCAGGAAGGAGGTATAAGTGCCCTGTAGGCTAGTGGTTAAAGTTCATGTGCGTGCAAAGGCAGGCATCCCAATACTTTTGGCAATATAGTGTATATATATATATATATATATATATATATATATATATATATATACACACACACACACACACACACACACATCATTTATGCAGCGCTTGCCAAGGTGAAGTCTTGTTCACTTTCAATATCCAGTGTATGCAATCAAAATAAAGATTTTGATTTTTGATTGGATGATTGACATGAACACCATTTTGTCTTTTTTAATAAGCTCAGTAAACATTTTTTTTTGCAGCAGGCTGATAAAGTTTTCTACCAATTTAGTTATAAGTAGATATGTACTGCTCAAAGAAATAAAAGCTTAAACTCACCAGGACATATTTCAATGTTACACTTGTGTATTTCTGTGTCCTTGCCAGCACATCCTCTTCCATTATGTGAAGGAGCAGGGCTGTCACAGGTACGATGCCTCCTCCTCTGGCCTCCATTGCATGTATGACTACATGTTCCCCACGTGCTCCATGGTCCCCAATTTCCATGAACTATAAAAAAAAACTTCTTGTTCAAACACTGATGTACAAAGTACTATCTAAAATGTTCTGTATGTTTTCTCATTCCATCTCCCTACCCCCACCCATTCTGTTTCTCCATAAACCTCCTGATTTACTTTTCTCTTACTTTCCTTTTCCAATTCCCCTATATGTTTCTGGATGTTGGCTTCAAATCTACTGTCTGCCTAATGTCTATAAAAGAAGCTATCTTGTATGACAACAGCCCTATGCTTTCCCCTACAAATTTATAATCCACAGGTTGTCTTGGAATAATGCAAAACCTCAAGTGGAAGGCCCCACACATAAATTTGTGTTAATTATACATTTACAGATTGACTGTAAAACCTTAGAAGGCTTGCTTTTAAAAAAAATATGTATGTTTATTATGTTGATAAACCTTTCTGAAATGTAAACCTCATTGCTAAATGTTTATGTTTGTATCTTTAAAGTAACATCTTGAAAATCAATCCAATCAGATTACACATAAAATGTAATAGTGGCTACAAATAAACAGCCATTAACTTGTATGAACTAATTAGCTTGTATAAACAGCTGTGTTGAGAGAGAGTAGTGATACATTGATTTTGACATGGAAAAACTGTGATTTCCTTTTTTATTATTCCAGCTGCAATATGTCTAGTAGTGAAAATATAAGAACCAAGGTCTTCTGGACATTTGAGAATTCCAATTCACTAAAATGGCATCTTCACAAACTGGTTCAGATAAGGAAACCCCATAAGTGAGACATAGTGGTACCTGTTTAACAGACAGCCATAAAATGCAAGCAGACATAGCATGTATCTATAAAAAAAAATCTAGCTATTCTGAATACCTAATTAGTTTAAAACATATGTTTTGTGTATGTATTTATTTATATGCAATTTTCAAGTGTAATATCATGCCAGATACATTGTGCTTAATAATCAGGTAAGGTTAACACTATTTTTGTACTCACCATTAAATGCTTTACTTGGAGTTTATCAAGGGACATGGCTTATACTCTAAGGGGAAATTAGACAACTAAAAAGCAGTTGGCCTGCCAAGTAAAACTTGCCCACTCCCAGGATGCTTCCATTTTTCTAAAAATTAGTATAGGGAGAAGGTCACACACACAGATTGGTGGGACGTGTGCCCCTTGATAAATTAAAAGAAAATAGATTTTACTACAGTATGTTTACAAAAATCCTGTTTTCCTAATTATTCATCAAAGGACAAATAATCAGGAAAATCAGAAACATTGGGATGCCCCAAAGTAGTTTAACTGAGGACAGTAGCAGCAACACAATGCTACAATGACAGCCCAGGGACAAAGAACAGTGAAACACACTGGGGGTTGCTTGACAAATGACAAAAAGGAGTCAGTTCGTCTAAAGAAAACAGAAGCTGCGAGGTAGACACAAACTGATCTAACCACATCCAAACATTGGAGGGATATCTCCTTAGAACGAAGTGAAGCAGGGCAGAGATGATGCGTTGGTTAAGGTGGAATGCAGAGACCACCTTTAGCAAGGAAGGAGACTCGGGCCTCCTAGGAATTATGTTAGCAGGTCTAGGCTCCCAAATCACAAATACATCCAAAAAGCAATAGTGAGACTCGGTCATCCATAGCTGACTGCAGCATGGCTGCTGCAGCTGTAAACATGTTAGAGACAGATTCTGGAAGAGAGGACATAGAAGTTCTTTCTTCTCTCTTCAGACTTTGAGGGGGCTAGACTGTGGCCAGGATGAGTAAAAAAATGCCTTGGTGTCAATTGGAGTAAACAATGCCCCATCATTGATATTAGTGGGAGGAATATTGCCCCATTATTGGTATTAGGGAAAGACATACAGTAGTTCCCAATCACTGGTGTCAATGGGAAGTATAAGGCCCTTCAGTTGGTTTTAGTGGAAGAATAGTGCCCCATCATTGGTGTCAGTGGAGGAATAGTGCCCCATCATTGGTGTCAGTGGGAAGAATAGTGCCCCTTTGTTGGAGAGAATGCTAGGAATAGTATTCCATCATTGGTGTCAATGGGAAGAATAGTGCCCCATCATTGGTGTTACTGGTAGGAATAGTGCATCATCATTGGGGTCAGTGGTAAGAATAGTGCCCTATTATTGGTATCAGTGACAGGAATTATGCCCCATTGTTGGTGTATAAGGAATAGCACCTTGCATACATTGGAGGAATAATGCCCCAAGGGCTTGATAAAGACAAGCAAAGGGTCACATCTGGCCCCTGGGCGGCAGTTGGGAGACCACTGTGCAAGAGGATCATGAGACGAAGAAGCCTATGGGAAAGTTCCATTTGTACATAGTCTTTGACATACAGCATAAAAATGAAAACAAAGTATTACCCGCCTAAAGCATCTGTGGCACTCACTATCAACTGCAGAAGCAGGCAAGATTATAGAGTCACTATGAGGCAGTAAGGTAAACCCATGACCTTTGCAAGGACAGCAATACCAGGAAAATACTTCACGCCGAAAAGCAGGAAAGGCAGTGTACAAGCACATACAACTCAGCACTTAATTCTCCAATTTGATACCCCTTTCAGGGAATAATGGGAGAAAAAAGAGATAATGTGCCATGTTCATACGTGACACACCCCAGACTTACCATATTCATAGGTTTGGAAAGTATTCTGAGGTTAACAAGCACAGTAACTAAGTAATGGAACGTGCCGTATGTAGAACCCAGTGAACACGTCATCTTCCAGGAACTCTTCGCACCTACCAATGATCATGCTCCGTAGGGACTATTCGAGAATCAGGGTCAATGCAAGGTGGCACCAAGGATCAGCCAACCTGGTTAGGCGCATAAGGAGTCCTAAATCAGCAGCATAACAAATAATTTTGATCAACAGAGCCATCAGAAATGTTGGGGCCCCTTACATAGCTTTAGCTCCACCACCCTCCCGGCCTGACTACCAACACTACCCAGGGCCCGTCCCATAGAATTAGCACACTGGCCATCCCACTGATTCCTTCAGTGCACCCACTGTAATTTTAACCACTTCCCAATTGTGCTATAGCCGAAAGAATGCTACAGCGCGGTTGTCTAGTTCTGGAAGGGTGTCCATGGACGTCCTCCCAGAACCCGCCCCCAGCAGCGCGCACCCAGCAGTACCATCGGTGATCACTGTGATCATGTGATAAGGTAAATGGCCAATCACAGTGGCCTTTTACCATGTGATCAGCTGTATCCAATGACACAGCAGATCACAATCACAGCGTGAAGAAAGTACTGCCGATAACCAGCAGCTGTGACTGGGGAGATCTGCACTGATAATCAGTGCTGCCCAGCAGTGCCCAGCAATGACGCCCAGCAGTGCCCAGCAGTGTCACCCATCAGTGCTGCCCAGCAGTGTTGTCCATCAGTGCTGCCCAGTAGTGTCGTCCATCAGTGCTGCCCAGCAGTGTTGCCCATCAGTGACCATCAGTGCTGCCAGTTAGTGCTGTCTGTCAGAGCCTCCAGTTGGTGCTATCAGTAAATGCCGACTAACAGTGCCGCCTATCAGTGCCTATCAGTGTCGCCTATCAGTGCTCATTACTGCATATCAGTGCATCATCAGTGCCTCCTCATCAATGCCCACCAGTGCCGCATCATCAGTGCAACCTATCAGTGCCGCCTCATCAGGGCCCATCAGTGCTGCCTATCAGTGCCCATCAGTGCTGTTTATCAGTGCAGCCTTATCAACGCACATCAGTGAAGGTGAAAAATTACCTGTTTGCTCAATTTTATAAAAGAAACAAAGTTTTTTGCTCTTTTTTTAATCTATAGTGCAAAAAATAAAACCCTCAGTGGCGATTAAATATCACCAGCTCTATTTGTGTGAAAAAAATTATGAAAATTTCATATGGTTACAGTGTTGCATGACCCCCCAATTGTCATTCAGTGCAACAGCGCTGAAAGCTGAAAATTGGCCTGGGCAGGAAGGGGGTAGAAGTAGGCAAGTGGTTAATACTTTTATAACTTTATATATGAAAATGAAAAGTGCATTCCAAGCCATCAGTGCTTTCAAAGAGCAAAGAGACAGCCCAATCCAGCAAAGAGACATCCTCAAATATCAAAGGGACAGTGCAAAAAGGACTGTCGACTCCAGCAAAAAGACATTCCCAATCCAGAAAAGAGACATCCCCATATAGCAAAGAGGCAGCCCAATCCTGCAAATAAACATTCCCATATAGCAATTAGACATCACCATTTAGCAGAGACTCCCCATGTACCAAAGAGACAGCCCAATCCAGCAACAAGACAGCTCCATATACCAAAGAGACAGCCTCATCCAGCAAAGAAACATTCCCATTTAGCAAAGAGATTCCCCATATAGCAAAGAGGCATTCCTATCCAGCAAAGGGACAGCTCAATCCAGCAAAGAGACATCCCAATGCAGCAAAGAGACATCCTGAACTATCAAAGAGACAGCCCAAATCAACAAAGGGACATCCCAACCCAGCAAAGAGATATTCTAATCCAGCAAAGCCAGCCAAAGAGGCATCCCCACATAGCAAAAAGACAGCCCAATCCTGCAAAGAAACATCCCCATAAAGCAAATAGACATTCCCATATAGCAAAGAGACTCCAAATATAGCAAAGGGACAGCCCACTCCAGCAAAGGACAGCTAAATCCAGCAAAGAGACAGCCCAATCCAGCAAAGAGATATTTTCATATAGCAAAGAGCCAGACCAATTCAGCAAAGAGACAGCCCAATCCTGCAAAAAAAACAGTCCCATATAGCAAAGAGACATCCCCATTTACCAAAGAGACTCCCCAAATGGCAAAGCCACAGTCCAATCTACCAAAGTATATCCCCATACAGCAAAGAGACATCTCCATATAGCAAAGAGACTCCCCATATAGGAAAGAGACAGCCCAATCCAGCAAAGGGACAGTCCAATGCAGCAAAGACACAGCCCAATCCAGCAAAGAGACATCTCCATATAGCAAAGAGACAGCCCAATTCATCCAAGAGACATCCCCATATAGCAAAGAGACTCCCCATATAGCAAAGAAACAGCCCAAACCACCAAAGGGACAGCCCAATGCAGCAAAGACAAGGCCCAATCCAGGAAAGAGACAGCCCAATCCAGTAAAGAGACTGCCAAATCCAGCAAAAAGACATCTAAATAGTAAACAGAAAATCCAGTCCAACAAAGAGACAGCCCAATCCAGGAAAGAGACATTCCCATATAGCAAATAAACATCCCCATTTAGCACAGAGACTCCCCATATAGCAAAGGAACAGCCCAATCCAGAAAAGATAATCCAATCCAGTAAACAGACATCTCCATATTGCATAAAGCCAGCCCAAACCAGCAAAGGGACAGCCCAATCCTGCAAACAGACATTCCCATATAGCAAATAGACATCCCCATTTAGCAAAGAGACTCCCCTTGTTGCAAAGAGACAGGCCAGACCAGCAAAGGGACAGTCCAATACAGCAAAGAGACAGCCCAATCCAACAAAGAGATATATCCATATAGCCAAGAGCCCAATCCATCAAAGAGACATCCCCATATAGCAAAAAGACATCTCTCTATAGCAAAGAGACTCCCCATATAGCCAAGAGACAGCCAAATCCAGCAAAGACACAGCCCAATCCAGCAAAGAGACAGCTCAATCCAGTAAAGAGACAGCCAAATCCAGCAAAGAGATAGCCCAATCTAGCAAACAGACATGCCCATATAGCAACCAGATAGCCCAATTCAGCAAAGGGGCAGCCCAATCCAGCAAAGAGACAGCCCAATCCAGCAAAGTGACAGCCCAACCCATAAAAGAGACATCCCCATATAGCAAAGATACCTCTCAATATAGCAAAGAGACTCCCCATATAGCAAAGAGACAGCCAATCCAGCAAAGACACAGCCAAATACAGCAAAGAGACAGCCAAATCCTGCAAATAGACAGCTCAATCCAGTAAAGAGACAGCCAAATACAGCAAAGAGACAGCCAAATCCTGCAAAGAGACAGCCCAATCCAGCAAAGAGACATCCTCAAATAGCAAATAGACAGTTCAATCCAACAAAGAGACAGCTCAATCCAGCAAAGAGACATCCCCATATAGCAAAGAGACAGCCCAATCCTGCAAACATACATTCCTATATAGCAAAGAAACATCACCATTTAGCAAAGAGACTCCACATATAGCAAAGAGACAGCCCAATCCAGCAAAGAGACAGCCCAGTCCAGCAAATAGGCATCCCCATATAGCAAAGAGAAGCTCAATCCTGCAAAGAGACATTCCCATATAGCAAAGCAACATCCGCATTTAGCAAAGAGACTCCCCATATAGCAAAGAGGCAGCCCAATCCAGCAAAGGGACTGTCCAATCCAGCAAAGAGACATCTCCATATAGCAAAGAGACTCCCTATATAGCAAAGAGACAGCTCAATTCAGTAAAGGGACTGTCCAATCCAGCAAAGAGACTCCCCATATAGCAAAGAGACAGCCCAATCCAGCAAAGGGACTGTCCAATCCAGCAAAGAGCCATCTCCATATAGCAAAGAGACTCCCCATATAGCAAAGAGACAGCCCAATCCTGTAAAGGGACATTTCCATATAGCAAAGAAATAGCCCCATCCAGCAAAGGGACAGCCCAATCCAGCAAAGAGACAGCCAATACATCAAAGAGACATTACCATATAACAAAGAGACATATCCATATAGCAAATAGACTCCCCATATAGCAAAGAGACAGACCAATCCAGCAAAGGGACAGAGACATCCAGCAAAGAGATAGCCCAATCCAGCAAAGAGACATCTCCATATAGCAAAGGGGCTCCCCATGTAGAAAAGAGATAGCCCAATCCAGCAAAGAGACATCCTCAAATAGCAAACAGACAGTCCAATTCAACAAAGAGACAGCCCAATCCAGGAAAGAGACATCCCCATAGATCAAAAAGACAGCCAAATCCATCAAAGACACAGCCCAATCCAGTAAAGAGACATCCCAATTCAGAAAAGAGACATCCTCAAATAACAAATAGACAGTCCAATCCAACAAAGAGAGAGTCCAATCCAGGAAAGAGACATTCTCATAGAGCAAAGAGACAGCCCAATCCATCAAAGGCACAGACCAATCCAGGAAAGAGACATCACCACAGAGCAAAGAGACAACCCAATCCAGCAAAGATGCATCCCCATATAGCAAAGAGACAGCCCAATCCAGCAAAGGGACAGTCCAATCCAGCAAAGAGACATCTCCATATAGAAAACAGATGCCCCATATAGAAAAGAAACTGCCCAATACAGCAAAGGGACAGCCCAATCCAGCAAAGAGACAGCCCAATCCAGTAAAGAGACAGCTCAATCCAGCAAAGGGACAGCCCAGTTCAGTTAAAAGCCATCCTCAATTAGCAAAGAGACAGTTCAATCCAGCAAAGGGCAGCCCAATCCAGCAAAGGGACAGCCCAATCCAGCAAAGAAACAGACCAATCCAGCAAAGAGACAGACCAATCCAGCAAAAAACAGCTTAATACAGCAAAGAGACATCTCTATATAGCAAACAGACAGCACAATTCAGCAAGGAGAAAACCCCATATAACAAAAAGACAGTCCAGTTCTGCAAAGAGACATTCCCATATAGCAAAGAGACATTGCCATATAGCAAAGGGGTATCTCCATTTAGCAAAGAGACAGACCGATCCAGCAAAGAGCCAGCCCAATCCAGAAAAGAAAAATCCCCATATTGCAAATAGACAGCCCAATCCAGCAAAAGGACAACCTAATCCAGCAAAGAGACAGTTCAATCCAGCAAAGAGACATTCCCAAATAGCAAAGAGACATCCTCATATAGCAAAGAGACAGCCCAATCCAGTAGAAAGGCATCCCCATATAGCAAATAGACAGCTCAATCCCACAAAAGGACAACCTAATCCAGCAAAGAGACAGCCCAATCCAGCAAAGAAACATCCCCATATAGCAAAGAGACAGCCTAATCCAGCAAAGAGACAGCCCAATCCAGCAAAGAGACAGCCCAATCCAGCAAAGAGATGGCCTATTCCAGCAAAGAGACATCCCCATATAGCAAAGAGACATCCCCATCCAACAAAGAGGCATCCCCATCCGACAAAGTAACAGCTCCATCCAACAAAGTGACAGCCCTATTTAACAAAGTGACAACCACAAACAGCTGAATGATATATTGCAATGTTTATAAACTTATCTGTGTTCGATCCTAGGCCACCCCTGTCATCTTGCCCCCCACATCATCATGGTCCTCAATTCCTGTGTGCACACAGTATGGAGCAGCCGGGCCCCCAGTGGGATGAGATGTTAGCAGCGCCCTCATTGAACACAGAAACAGGGGTCTGCGAGTTTGTGTAATATCTGATTGGCAGGCTTTGTGATGGGTGCGGAACGGTGTGTACTGTAGATTGTATTTGTCAGTAAGTAGTGAGTGGATGGGGAGCCTGGTGGTGATGTACGTGTTCAAAAAGACAGCCTAATCCTGCAAAGAGACATCCCAATCCAGCAAAGAGATGGCACATTCCAGCAAAGAGACATCCCTATCCAACTCCATCCAACAAAGAGATTTCCCCATCCAACAAAGTGACAGCTCCATCCAACAAAGTTACAGCCCTATTTAACAAAGTAACAGTCACAAAGAATCCAATAATATATTTCAGTGTAACATCTGATTGGCAGGCTGTATGGTGGGTGGATCGGAGTGTACTGTAAATTGCATTGGTAAGTAAGCAGTGAGTCAATGGGGAGCCTGGCAGTGATGTACGTGGAGAAGAGGGCCACCTTTAGCATTCGGGGTTCAGCTGTGTCTGCTTTTACAATGTTACTGACCTGGCTGTCTCAGTTTACTGTAAGCCTCAGAACATGCAGCAAGTGAACATGGGGCGGATGGGCCCCTCGACATGCCCGTGCCCTCTAAATGTGTATGTGCTGTCCCCCCTGATGGCAGACCTGATCTTGATGGAACAAATAATAGTCTTAACAGAAGTAAAAATCGCTAGAAAAAATAGTATACTTTTCCCTGAAAAGAAAAGGCATCCATCCTCCTAAGACACTGGCATAAAACTCAAGCCTCATGAAAGTGAGAGGGGTTATGCATGGCTTGCAAACTGCTTTTATGTTTAACAGTTTCTAATTCTTCCTAAAGGTGGCAGTATAGCCTAGTAATCCTGATTCTTCTGTTCCTGTGTCTTTTGATGAACAATTAAGAAAATTTTCATTTTTGTTTTAATCCTCTTGAACTGGACTACATATACAAAGAAAGAATAGTTACATAGTTACCTAGTTACAGTTAGTCTGGTTGAAAAAAGACAAAAGTCCATTCAGTTCAAACATAAAAAAGTGCATCTAGTTAAACCTACACACACGCAAATAGAACACCTCCATACATACAATCCTATATCTGCAGTTGATCAAGATGAAGGCAAAAAAAACATCAATGCACAATCCTATTTGCTCCTAGAGGAGAAAAAAATCCTTCCTAAACCCCCAAGAGGCAATTGGATATTCCCTGGAGCAACTTTACCTTTTAAGCATAAGTTAAAAAATTAATAATAAGCTTACTAGGACATAAGTCTCCATTGCAAAACTCATTTTCAAAGGCTTTTCCTTTACATTTGTGGCCTCCATATTGTGGTTGTGGACTGGCACATTCACGAGTTCTTTGTCGAAGGCCTCCACCACAGGACACACTGCAGGATGTCCAACTGCCCCAGGGTGACCATTTACCATCCACTGTATGATAGACAAGAAGAAAATTATGTGAAAAAGCACATGGCTCCAAAGGGTTGTTGTTCAGTATCCAAAAAAGCCATATTGAAAAAAGTAGTGAGACATTTTTTACCTGGACAGTGGCGTATGTTACATATTTGTGACTGCGTGTCTTGTCCTTCACAAAATGTTCCATCAAAGGATGGAGGTGGATTATTACAGAGCCTTACACGTATCTGAGTTCCTTTCCCACATGTCTTACTGCATGGACCCCACACTTGCCAGGAACTCCATTCTCCATCAACTAAAATAAAAGGAATAAATTAGTACAGTATGTTCATGTTATGAATATGGTAGGCTTTTAGTTAAAATATTTGCAAGTATAGCTGTATCATAGGGTTCACAATTGATGTGTCCCTATTTACAGTTAATATATAACCTAGGTCAATGACATTTAGTTTGCTAAAGCACTGTGTATCATAAAAAACTTCCAATTTAAACAAAATACTTGTTTTTGCCATTTTTCATTCCTTGTTGCATTTCAGTGCAGCTGAACTTCAGCCAACTGTGTATCTAATTACTGTCTATGTTCATGCACTTGAATACAAGAAAGCATTTCCCCATACTAATAACAACAATATCCAATTACAGATTTTAGATCTATAGAATCTGACCTCTTTAAAAAAAAATCAACACAACATTCAGTCAGGAAAATCCCTTGTGGCTTCCAGTCATCGTTTTATGGCTCCTGTCTGTATCCATAAGTAAGCAGTACTATAGCTAGATCTTGCTATGCTTGATATTCAGAAACTCCCATTTTACATTGAATGCTTGTAGACATTACTGTGTTGAACCTAGTCATAAATCATTAACAGTGTCTTCTTCTTATTCACTAACGAGTTAAAGGCTAAGTTCACCTTTTGTAAAAAATAATAAATGCCATCTTTTTGCAGGTAAAACAAATGTGCATTTATTATTACATCGCAGACTGTAAACCATTGCAACATAAATTGCAGCGCTAAACAAATAAAACAAAGATTGCTACACAATCAAAATATATTGCTATAATAATAACGTCCCAAAGAGAACTATAAATTGCAATAGTGTCCAAAATATGTTCACTGAAGCATTAATCAATCTTGCATACCACCACTATAGTGACTCTTTGACACCATATGCACTAAGAGTACTTTAAATCTCCTCCACCACTGTACTTCTTTAGAATATCTTACAAATGTGTGCAACCAAGCAAGGTTATCTCCCTCACATGACACGAGTATCCCCTTTCAGGGATGCACTTTGCAATATCATCTGTAATACTAACAACAGATTTCCATGTTATTTATCTGAGTTCTGCAGGATTTCTTCAAGGTTGTAGATCAATTTCCTTTCAATAAATAGGTAATCAAACCTTCTGCTTCCTGAAGTGTGCATTAGGTATCATGGCATGGGGTGTATAGTCCATATTTCTACATCAACACATGTTACCTACAGTAAGTGGCAAACATTATCAGACTACTAGTGCAGTTCATTGGTGCAGGTTGCATTATTACAACCACACCTCCCTCATTCCAGGGGAACTGGGCAGTACATTTATGCCTACCTGTAACTCTTAGTTCTTGCTTTTCTCCTCACATCTTTTATAATATTTAATATACTGCATCTGTAGGGTCAATGTATATAAAATAAATGCAGCCCTGCTTTACACACCAGTGCCCCAGATTATCAAACACTCCCAACTTAAATTCTTGATTTAATCCATGGGGATATTGGGAGGATGATTTTTCTACCTTAACTCCCTTTAGACCCATAATGTTTTTAAAATCCTTTATTTCTTAGGTTCACCAAATCATACAACAACAAGTAATTTTGTTTTGAATACATAAGCCATGGGGGTTTAATTAACAACATCTAACAATATGATGCAGATGTTTGGATAAGCAACCAAAACATCGTAATCCTTCATGTCAAACATCTGATTCCTTTTTCCCACTGAGGAACACTGACCAATGTGGTGGGTTTGGGGATAACTAATATTTTCGTATATAGGGGGAGGGGGGAGTTCTTAACCATAGCAAAAAAAAAAGCTTTTTGGTAATATGAAGGATAAGGAAAGGAAGGAGGGGGGTTTGGAAGAGGTTAAATCCAGAGTAATGGGGCTTCCATGTCTCTAGTCCCTTTGCTACTTTCATGTATATGACAGGAATTCAGAGGACAACTGGAATTACTTACAGCTACACCAGTTCTTCATATGTTCCTCTGACTTATTTCTAAGGGCTAAGGTATAATTCTCTGTGTTTTCTATATCATTTACTCTGGAAAACTATTTAATTAGTGTTGGTTGGTTTGATTGTTTCCAATCTGTACCATATGTACCATCGGGTCACAATTTGTAAGTGATCAGTCTCAGATTGCTTTTATGTTTTCAGCAACGTCCCAGTTCTACACAATAGACTTTTACGTATTTGTTGTATATAATATATTATACATTGTTTTTTCAGGATACATAGCACTTTAGTATATTTGGTAGTACATTTGGGTAGAAATATTTTGCAAAGTGGACATAGAATAAGTGAATTAAATTAAAACCCTTTACTCTTTTAGTAAATACATCCTATTATGTTTTTCCAGACCACTAAGTGCCCATTCCACTTGATTGTTGCATGCTTCTAATCCCACTTTTTGATTTGTAGCTCCTACCAAAAGCTATTTTAAACAGTCTGCCATCTGAGCTTGCACTTGTTGCAATCTGTGGGCAAAATATAAATCATATTCAATTTATATTTGTGAAACTATTACAATATGATTAGCAGTAATAATATTAGTTTTACATTGGATTTAGTCCACAATCCTAGAAGAAACTGGACACAATTTGGGGTTTTCCATTGTGTGGCCTATATGCTTTCATAATGCTCACCTGGACAGGGTTTGGTGTTACAAACTTTGGTGTCAATAGCTTTTCCATCACACATCTTTCCTCCTTCCTGGGCTGAAGGAATATTGCAAATCCTTGTTCTTGTTTTTTTTTTCCACTTCCACAAGTTGTAGAGCACTCTTCCCATGGGCTCCAGTCTAACCAACTTCCATCAACTTTGTTATGCAATAAAAAAAAAAATGGACAGTGGAATTAGGCTCATAAGATATATAAACAAAGATAGACTTCCTAATAATTTGGGCCATGACCTTACGACTAACATACTTAGTCATACAATTGAATGGCCAAATCTTTGCATTCTGTTGGCATGTTAAATTTGTAGGTTTTGCATAGCACAATGGTAAGTCATCACGCACACTGGACATTTTTACAGCTGCTGTTTTCGACTCTTGGCGTTTTTTTCTACAGCCAGTAAACTCCCCAGAATGTTATCCTATGTGTCCATGCACACATAGGCTTTAATCAGTGGTTTCTGGCAGGGGTGTTTTTTGGTTGGAAAAAAACCCAGAACTAGCGGGTTTCTAGCATTATTAGAATTATTAAAACACCCAGTGTGCATGGAGCCTAATAGTTGTACAATAGACTATTTTATCATTGTAACCTTTTCATCTCAAAGTTACTATAGATCAAGCAAATTAACTATCTAAATGATTCAACTATCAGAAGATCACTTTAAAAAAAAAATTCTAAGCAATTCTTATTTGCAAACTGCAAAGTTTTACTGCATATTTAGTTTACAATGTTAGTAGAACAAACTAATAAACCAATAAAATGAGTATTAATTGCATTTGGTTTCACTTGTTCACATCAGATGTATGATTTTTTTTTTTTTTTTTTAAATAAGCCGTTAAACTCATAGGGAATAATTTTTTTAATTTTCATGGGATTGAGCACACACATGTACTGTACATATGTACATTCAAGGCTGGGATAAAGATAAAGGGAAGGTGCAGGTGGGGCAGCTGACTTAGGTCAAAAGAGGAAGCAATTTTTATACCTGATGATAATAATGTGTGCATAATTAACTACTTAAAGTGTATGTAAGCTATAACAATTAATTTCTCTTATGTGCTGCCTTTTAGTGTGTTAATATCAGGGCTAGGATGGGGTAGGAGCAGAAGTTCAGCTGCAAGTGAATTCTGTTTTGATTTATTTGAACCTACAGTATACAATATGGGATATCCTTTATAGCCATATATCAACATGCTGGTAAATATTTTACTTTTCATTTATACTTGTAACAAACATAGCAATCTATACACACATATACAGTAGAAGGGCAACAATTAATAACATTTTCAGAAGTTTTAACCTCTCATCGGTCTATAAAAATGTGTTTTTGTTTTTATCTGTGCCTTTGTTGGAGAGATGTTCAGTCCCTTCCATTCCTAACAGAAAGTCTCTTCAATAGGTGCACTTATAGGCAGGTTTCCTACATTAGGTAGTTTCAGAAGGCAGCTGGCCCACGCTGGGGAAGGGGTTATTTGTGTATACTTTTTTCCCCAGTCTTTCTAGAAGCAGGCTACCATTACTGTGACATATACAGTATATATAGGGGGAAGGCTGGGGTCAAGGGTTGCCGCATGCTTGACAAGGATTCCATGATTCCATAGAGCCATGGAGGGGGACTGCTGTGTCCTGCAGTCCATCCAAAGTTCCCAGACTGCAGAGGATGCCACACTATGTACAATGTCCTTAACACCTTGTAAAGGTATGCCTGGGCCAGCTAGATTGGTAAGTTAAAGGGATGTTCTTGTCACTGTTCATGTTGGACTGTACTGCATTCCGTTAAGTGAAAGTTGCACCAACTGTTCTAATCTAAGAAGTTACTTAGAGGTGATGCATGTTGGTTCCTGGTGTATTAAAGAACTTGCATCAGTAAAAGAACGTTTGGAGCATGAAGCAAGGCCACTACTCAAAGGATTAACTTAGCAAGACAAGTGCAAGAGGAGTGCAGTTGCTATAAGTACCAAGTAAAGATGTGGAGTGTACAGCAGCCTGCCGTGAAGCGTGGTACCCGGCAGAGTGGAGGGTCTACTAGTAGCAAGGGAGTCAGTGATCTAGCTCCCTCCCAAGTAGTCGGTTTCCCATAGCAACCAAGACCTAACCTGCGTTATGGAGATCCAAAGCCTAGCCACATGGTAAAGGAGAAAGTAAAAGAGTTAGCAAGATCACACATTAGGTCTGCACAGGTTCTTGGTGGGACCCCATTCTGTCACT